TGTGTGTGTGTGAAAGCAGAGAATGGGCATTAGATCATCTGTCTGGTGATCCTCTACAGGTAGTGGTCACAGGGGTTATTAACAGATGGTAGATGTTAATTCTGTAATGATTGCACGGGAGAGAGTTCAGAAGGAAAAAGAGAGAGTTTGTGTGTGAGAGAGAAATATTTTACACTACACACTAATTCTAAGCAGGTTTTGAGTCTGTTGTGTACTTGACCTTTCATTACAAGTCCTATTTTCATAGCTTTATCCATCAGTAGTGAAAGGTAACTACACTAAGTCCATTTAGTTACAGCAGCTACAAGGAACTTTCATTGTGTTGATGCTGGCTGCCCCTGTGGACAGGAGCGGTAGTGTTTCAATAGCAGTTTCATTGATTTCAAGGTAAATCCGACCGAATCCGACTAAATGGAAATAGCTAATCGTTCTGCTGATCTTGTTTGTTTATTTGTTTATATAGGTCATATAGAGGCATCAGTGGTCCAAAGAGGTAAAATAATTCTATGTTTCACAAAAAGCTAAAATTATAGAAAAGTCCAAACAAACAAATACAACTTTGTGTATCGGAACTTAGTTTTCTCTTCTTTCCTCTACCATGAATCCTCTCATAACCTCTTGGATTTATCATGTGACAGCTGTGACCAGAACCCCTGATTGGGAACCAGTGAATTGAGACTAAACTACATAATTACGTGTACAACAACAAACAATTCTGTTTACATGTTTATGCATCAGTATTAACACTATACTGACCATAATGTCAGTCAAAGGGGCTATTTTTTTTTGTTGCAATTTTACTTTTGAAAGTAAGTTAGTAATTTTACATTTTTATATCGGTAACAAACCTGGCATCTTCCACCACTGTTACCCATAGTTTCTGTTAGTTTTGATAACATACTGTACAGCAAAACATAGTGTGAACCTAGCAACAACACTGCAATAAAGTCAGACAATGCAAGAAACACCACCTGTCAGACATGCTGTAAACAAGCCAGTTAAGACATCAATCATCTTATCCGCTGTATTTTCAGGTATTATCAACACAAGATCACATAATGTTAGGAATAAACTTTAACTGCAAAAAAGTGGGCGCATACGGCCGCAGGAGGTCGGTCTGTAAGCTGTGGTGGATGTTTACAGCAGACCATTTTGGATAATAATTTTACAGTTCCACATTATTTTCTCTTCCAAATATGTTTTGATGACCTGCTGGCTATTGGAAAACCTGTCTGATCGCCAAGCCGGTTATTTCTCCCTTCTGAGCGGAACAATCAACTCAGTGAGAGCCATGTTACAATGACTGATAATTGTCAAACCTACAAAAATCCAAGTTGAAATAAACTAAACTACACTCAGGAAGAGTAAACATGCATTCTAGCTAATGCTTGATTTTTGAGGGAGCGGCTCCCAGCTGCAGATAAATGCAAAAAACACACATGTTTGATGGTTGTGAGATTGCTTGAGAAAAGATCTTTGAAAACAAAAAAATAAGAATGAAATTAAAACTGAATCTTACATCTGAGATTGAAGTCTGCCGTTGCATGTGATGCATCATTTCATGTACTGTGATTGCTAGTTCACTAATTGGAAAAAAACGTATACAATAACTTAGTACATGGAGACACAGTAAGAGAAGTAGAGAGGAGAGTAGACCCTTTTTATCTCTTTACCTTCGTTTTCAGATGTTTGGCCATTATGATTAATCCATGCACAGTTTTGATTTTTATCTCCATTTCACACATTTTCTAGCCAGCCAGAAAAAAAACATTATTCCAGCACTATCTACACTTTCAGTTTTCATTTCAAAGCATTCCACTTGCAGACTGACAGAGACTACAAAGTGTCTGCTACTGAATCCCTTTATGTTTTAGGCTTTTTTTCACTATAGATATTATAGATATGTGCAGGGGGACATAAGTAGATAAGTAGACAAAATTGTTTCTTTTGACAGCAGTAAAAACTAATCAGACTTTGGGATCAAACAGTATGGCTCTGAGGTTGATGCAACAAGTGCAAGGCGGAGGCAAACCTATTGGTATGCAGCCTGCCAGCGGTGCTATACAGCCACTAACACTCCACAAGGATCAAATATTAACACTGCTACGCCACCATCTGGAACGCATGTTCTCACCATAAGACATCTGTCCACCAGGGAAAAGACACAGGAATCTATTCCAATGTTTATAGAAATATAAGTATTGCACTTTAATATTAATACTCAAGGTTAAACTCTAAATATGTCATTCTCCTAGAATGCAGATACACATCTGGCAAGATGTATATAGCAAATCAAGTGAAACCAACACAATACACTTTGCAGACACAAATTTGAAGAGGGGAACTGGCTCAGTTCCAGTGCACCTTGCATCAGTGTCTCATTGCCGTAGATGACACGCCAATTCGCCCCCATCTCCCCCCTTCCACCCTCACTCTTAAACGTCTGATGTAACAAGTCTTTGATAGGATCCTCACAGCAGCACTATCTCCTCAGTCACACATGCTGCAAGGTGCCTTGGTAAATATTGAATCGTCAAGTAAATATTGAATCCATGATTGACTGAACAACTCAATCTGAAGACTGAGCTGCTATGAGGAGCAGACGCTCATAAGGCAGCTGATAGGATTACTAAATAGTGCTCGTCTCCATCAGCCACTCTCCCTGGGCCCTGCCCCGGCAGGCTGCTGGCAGGGTCATTATTCTAATCTGAATTAAACAATTCAGTGCGGGAGGGACCTTGATGTTTGGAAAAAAATCCTTTAAGAGGCAGATGGTAGGGACCTCAGGCCAAATTTGCTGAACTTTTCTAAACTAACCGGTTTAGGGGTGAATTATTTAAAATAATACACTCTTTTCTTGCAAATTCGAAAGTTTTCCTGAAAGCAATTCTGCTAGCTTTTAAAAGGCAAGAGTGCTCCTCAAAGTAGAACCCATTTTCAAAGGGGCAGAGCGGAGTTTAAATGGAGATTAGAGTACTTCTTGTACATACAAACTGTTTCCTACAGGCTCTTGGCAGTCATGCACTGAATTACAATCTGAGACAGTTATTGTCACTTCAACATCTCACTGCAATATGAGTGCAAACCCCCTCCCCCCCCATCTCTGCCCTTACCTCTCATTTCATTCCTATTCCAAGCACTCTCCTGTGGCTTTGACATGTACTCTGCCATGGCTTGGAAATGACAATGATTATGTGGTAGATTTGGTAGAATTTAAAAAATAACGATAATAATTTCTTATTTAATTTGAAAAGGGATTTGTATGGGATGACACCCAAATCTCACAACAGTTTCTCCTCTTTCAAGGAATGACTTCACACTGTTGAATTTCGTTGATAAAATGTATTGTGTTTTTTGGGAGGTAAACATTATCTGAAACACAGACACTGCCATACATCAATGCCAACAGGAAACAGAACAGTTTTTAAACAGGAATTTCAAAACTGCTCCCTCAGATTTACTGATCTCCAACCAACGGAGGAACCCAGGGTCGACTTATGATGGATTTTAAGGTGTTTGCCCCAGAAACCCACTTTTCTTCTTTCTTTTTTGTTTCTTTTGTGTTGGTAGAATTTATTCACTTTGAAGGTAAAGGAATTTCACAGTGCGCTGCTTCTCTAACTGGGAGCTCTCTTTTCCTGACACTGGGTCTGAGTAAAAACAAGGGGTGCAAGCGCAGGTGGGAGTGACCACCTAATTCTGGTTCCCAGAGCAATATGGAAAAGAGATTGGAGCAGGATACATACATAATTAGTTGGCAGAATAGATTATTTGCCGGTAGACTCAGGGCAGGTTTCAGTTATGGCCAATCACGTCTGTTCCTCACCCCATTAAAAAGCAGCAGACATTTTCCAAACAATGAGCTGAGAGGAAAGTCCAGGCTGGTGGAATACTGCTCTTCTCTGGAAAGAGTCCCAAAGCAGCAACTCAGTGTGCATGCCTTGAATATGAATAGACAGCATCCCTAATAGGCAGATTATGTCTTCTTTTCATGTAGCACAATACAAGCTGTTTCTATTTGTACTGTTCCATGCTTATATTTTATATGCTCAAATTATTCAAAATATTGTATTCAGTTAGTTCAAACAATCAAGCCACTGAGATAATAACAATAGCCTGCTTCAGCCACTTACATCACTACAAAACCTGGAAGCTCCCCATAATAATAATAACCATATTATCATTATAATAGCCCAAACTGTGGATGATTACAAGCTGCACATCTCTTAAATCAGAGACTGCAGATGGAACGTGTGTGCTGCGTCTTTCCTGCTGCTATATGATGGCAACAGGTATTTAATCAACAAAAAGGAAAGGCCTCATGCATCCTACAAGCAGCTGTGGTGACAGTGTTATTCAAAATTATCCATTAATCTAACCCATTACAGATTCTGCCTGCATTGCATTTAAATTGTGGTCCCATTTGCATTTGATTTTTGGGTTTTGTAGAGGTCTCTGAGCGCACATATCCGCCAACGCAAGCCATGAAATTTTCTCTGTCTGGTCTGAGGCGAAAACAGAGATGCAATTTCATGCCAAAAGAGTAATAAAATTGAACAGCCCTGCCTGACCTGCCTGCTCCCAACAAAAAGTGGAGACCAAGTGCATTTCAGTACTCATATAAAACTTCTACAAAAGGCATATACCGTATGTTGCGAGGTGTATAATTTGCTGTATAATAAGATGCATAATAATTTGCTTTTAAAAGTAAATTCACTCTTTACAGTGAGTAAAGTTCCGTAGTAGTTGGGTCAACACCAAATATATATATCAAGTTCTTTTACAAAATATATTTTTTGAGAGTGGAGACAGTTAAATGGAGGTAAAGCATGTGGCCTACATATAAAGAAACTATAGCAGTACAAATGTCCTTCACTTTGTGCCGCTTTTAGCTTGTAACTGCACTGAAGGCCCTTTAGAAACTATATCTAGGTGTTACAATCTGAAAAGGGCATGCAGGAACCCCCAGAGGCTTGTATTCTGACTCCTGCTACATGGACACAAAGCCCTGTTGAAAGTATGCAGAGGGGAGTATTTCACTTTCCTCCCTCTTGCACCTGCCAGCCAAGTTGCCAGATTTCTAGCATTAGTAAATGTTTGCAGAGTGACTTTGCTAAAGTATACACGGCTGAAGAGAAACACAGGAGTGATCACAGAAACTTCTTATTAACATATCATAAGGACGTGCATTAATGAGTTGTTCATCCATTGGACCTGGAACAGGTTAATCTCTGTTTTGACTTAATTATATTTCAGTATATTAAGGGCTGTAATTGGCAAATGCTTGAGGCTGAGATGTTGCATGTTTAGAATACAATATTAGTTGGACTAATAAAAATGAAACTGTCAAGACTAAAGCATAAAACTGAACTGAATTGTACTGAATGCAAACCAGTCAGAATGTGGGCCCATTTAATGTTACAGATGATTTCTCACCTTATGCGTATATATGTTTACAAGCTATAGCGCTGTTGGTGAAAATGTACTGATGAAATTATTAGCTATCAGTTTAGTAATGAGAGAATAGAATGCATCATTTATAATATTAGGCTTATAATTAATTGTTTATTTGTATGATAATGATTTATGTTTAAAACTAAAAGTGATTTTTTTTATAACTTTTATATTCATGACTAAATAAGCAACTCTGAAGTTGAAAAATATGTTTATCATTTAAGAGTTAATGAATTAAACCTCAACTACTTCATCAAGACTGTGTGGGTCTGATTTGATCAGGTTTGACTAGCAATCAACCCTAGCCTGGCATCACCAGGATGAACCTCTCAGTTCCTGTTAAATTTCCAAGGGTCATAGGGAGCATACCAAAATTGCCTCTGGACGCAACTGGATAGACCTTCAATCAATCAGACCTTCAACGAAACGCATGAGGCAAGAAATAGGCAATTCATTTTCAAAATCTTGATTAATTTTTGATCAGCACTGTCGAGTTTTACAGTTTTAATTGAGTTTCAGGAGCCTGTGTGTTTACCTGAACAGACCTGCAGACTGGACACAACTGGATAGACCTACAA